ATGCAAATACATGCAAGTGTGTATACCCATATTTTTTTTATATTATCAATTTTTTAAAATAATTATTTTAATTTTTTTTACGGCATGCTCTCTTAGATTTATCTCATTCATATTATACTTCATTTCTATTTTTTTCTATTATTTTTAAATATATAACTACTTTTTATATTATTTTTCTTTTTAACTATTATAAAGAAATAATATTAAAAAAGAAAGTTAACATAAAAACATTTTATGCTATAATTTGATATTTAATGTTTAACTTATTTTATACCATATATATATATATATATTTATTTATTTATTTTTTTATTTTTTATAATGTAGGCATCGTGTTGATTAAGTAAGCGGTGGTGGTCAAGATACTTAAATTATTCATGCGCAGTGGAAGTTCTTCCTAGAAACAGGTGCTTACCATAATCATCTCTCCGATGTCAACGCAGCGATTCTAACGCAGTTAATCCACTTGTTTATTTTTTTTTTGCTTTTCTGTAATATTAAAATATGTAAATATTTTATTATTATTATTATTATTAGTTTATTTTAAAATTTTAATTATTTTAATATTAATAAAAAATTATATTCAAATCAAATATAAACTAATTTATTAGTATACTATAAGTTTTTTATTAAATTTATCAGTTTATATTAATTTTATGATATATATTTTTATTTTTTTATGGCAGGTCCACCCGTACAAGTGAAACTAGAAAAAAAAAAAGGATACAATTTTAATGGAAAGACATACTGGTCAGTGTTATAAATTTTATGTAGCAAATTACACTAACTAACGAAGTTTATTTCTAACCAATACATGTTACAGACCATTATCATTATTATAGTTAAAATAACAATAATAATAAAATTTAGACATATTTCTCTGATATAAATAATTATTATCTATATTCATCAAAATAATTATTTATAAATTTTCTTTCATAAAGATATTTAAAATATATTCCAAAAAGTAATATTTTTTATATGAAAAGTTAGAGGTATTATAATCATGAATTTAAGTTAAATTAATGCATAGACTTATAGGTAGATTAGTTTTATATAATAATTAATATTTTAAAATTAAAATAAAAATAATTTTTTTTATTAAATTTATATTGCATTATTAATTTATAAGAGATTTTTGTATTTTAAAAATATGTATAAGAATAAATATTTAATTCTTAATTTTGGAGTACATTTATTATATTAAATTATTAGATTTGAAATAAAAAATAATTTTATTAATATAACTTAAATTTTAAAATACATTGTTATTTTTAATTTTTATTTAAAAATATTTTAAAAAAACTAATTAATTATTTTATATAGACATATTATTAATTTTTAATTCTTAATTCGACAAAAATTGATCTGATATATTTTAAATATAAATTAAAATTAATTATTAATTTTTTTTACTTAATCCATATAAATATCTTATAATTTAAATTATAAATATTAATTGATTAAATTTAAATTATTGATTATAATTAAGTATTTTAATAGATAAATATAATAAATATTTTAATTTATTTAATAAAATATTAATTAATCGATAAAAATTAAAAATTAAAAATTATTCTTATAATTAAAGGTATATTTTTAAAATATTAATAAAAAAAATTATTTAAAAAAAATATATTGATAAATAGATGATTGGTTCATCAATCCACTTTTTTTAATAAGATGAATTAAGATTTATAATCTATATTAACTATGATAGGTTAATTTATCCTATCTCACTTTTAACATAAGATAAGTGGTCTGTTTTGTTATTCTATTTTTATATATGGATCTCATAAATTTGATATTTATTTTTTTATTATAATAAATAATAGGGAACTCTAAAATACCTACTTAATTGACATATCTAATTTTTAAATGATTTTCACGTCTGAACATAAAATAAAATAAATTTTTAAATAATTACTTGTTAAGTAATACATATATTTTTAAAAATAAATATATTAAAAGGAACATAAAAATAGAAATTTATTTATTTTATTAAAAATAAATTTGAAAGAAATAAGCACACAAACTCACCATTTAAAATGACTGACCGAGAAGCAAATTTCTTATTTGTACATCAAGTGAGGACACAATCTATCATAAACTGGTAAACAGTTAATTTTTATTACTTAGAATATCTAAAAACTATTTTCATAATTGATATCAATAAATAAAAAATAATTATTAATTATACAATATTAATTATAAAATATAATGGTTATAGTTATATAAAAGTAAAAATTATCTTATAAAAAGTCACACCAAAATAGTATCTAGTAATTACTTTTGAAAACAGATCTTGTTCCTTCCTAACACAGGCATGTTCCATTTTCCTCCTGTTGTACTTTAATGACGGTTGGTAGAATGCCAACTCTTTTTTATACATATCTAATCCTATAACGTTTCCCTTATTTTTACAATTTGAATAACTAAAACTAATTAATGAGCACTTGCGTCTTCACACTAAATTCAGTTAGAGCTGTTTTTTTTTTTTTTTTTTTTTTTTTTTATGTAGAATAGTTGAATTCATATGTATCTTTGAAAAAGTTAAAACAAGAGTTCTTTTGTATTTTAATTACACACATCTCCTCTTTTATTTTATGTTACCGAAATTTCTCTTAATATTTATCACCACGCTTGTATATATCTTTTGTGTAAAAGATTTAAAGTCCACTAATTTATTTACATATATAATGGGACTTTAATAAAATTTCGAATGCAAAAAATACTCTACTCTTTTAGTGAAATTGTCTTTACTCTTTCTTTTCATTGTGTTTTGATTTTGAACGCGGCTTTGTTCATATTGTAGTGTGTAATGTAATAATATCGACCTCTATGTATCTTTGTTTGAATTGTATTATGAGGGAACCATTCGTGTTGCATCTTTGTCATTCAAGTAAAACATATGACATAGATTATCATGGGTTGTAAAACAAAAGGGTGTGTTTGTGTTTGATATATATTCAAATGTAAGGGGTAGATTTGTAGTAGTTGCAAAATGCAACTTTTTTTAGATGAATATCAAAACCTTATAACTTACCTTGTGTTTTGGATGAATAATCTTTACACAAAAATTCACGCTTTTGTAAAATATATTGTTTAGATAGAAAATTTTAAAGGAAATTTAAAATTTTTATGATGATAATTTGATTAATTAAAATATTATCATCTTTCTCAATTTTATATATTTTATCTTCGTTTTTTCGTTTTTTTTTGTTTAGTCATTGCTGATAAATTTTGACTAATTTCAATTAGGGACATCATTGTTCAACAAAGTTAGGATGTCATTGACTTAGTGAAGACACGGATTTATATATGCTCGACATCTTTTTTTTTTCCACTGATATTAATGAGATTTCTTTCAGATTAAAATTAATAATATTTAATTTTCAATCTCTATAACTAAACTTTTTTAGTTTTTTTTTACCTATAAATTAGTATTATTTCTTAGTTGATATCAATAAGAGACTTTTTTTATCAACATCAATAATATTTTTAGATTAGTGTCTAAAACAATTTTTTTTATATTAACTAAATGAGATTATTTTTAATTAATGTCAATTAAGGTTGTTCTTCTAGTAGATTAAAACTCTAAACCCTAAAACATATATCAGGATTATTAACATTGAAACTATTTTATATATTGATTCATGTTTATTAAACTTTTCTTAACTAGTACTAATAGGACTATTTTTAAGCGGATGTAAGTAAATTTTTTTTAGATTGAAGTCTCTCATGACTATTTTATGTGATGCCAAGATTCATATTTCCACTTAAGGTCGATGTTAATATGTGGTGATAATTTTGGACTTGTTAAGTCTCTTTAAAATTGTCAAAACAATAGTTAATTATAAAAACATATTGTTTTTTTTTATATATAATTATACATACATCTCCTACTTTATTTAATATTGAAAAAAAAAACAATTCTAATACATCTGATTCAAGTCACGTTTGATATATATATATATATATATATATATATATATATATATATATATATATATATATATAGCGTGTGTGTTTGCATAAACGATACTAAGTACATAACGTGATATGTAGGTGACTTTTAATACACGTAAAATATATTTTTTTCTCTCTCTAATTAAATTTTTTTTTTTTTTTGCTTTCGTTGTGTTTTGGTCAAGCCATTGTAAGATTTTGTACGTAATTTTGCACGTGATTTTAAATGCGGTGCTGTTCATATTATGGGATGTTGTGTAATAATATTGACTTTTATGCATTTGACTTTCTTATTATAAAACAAAGGTGTGTGGGATACATCTGTAATAGTTTTTAAAATGCAGGGGATGCAACTTGTTGGAGTTAAAAATGTTTTATTATAAAATATGTTATAGATAAGAAATTACAAATTTAAAAATTTATGGTGGTAACTTGATTAGTTAACACTAGAGAATTAAATATTCGCTTAATAAAAATAAAAATTTTAAATTTTTTATACAATTCTTTTCTTTCTTAAATTTATGTATATTGGACTTAATTTGAATCGAAATATTTCATTTTCTTGAGGTGTTACTTATTCAACTTATACAATATTTCATTTTCTTGATTGATATTGATGACATATTAAAGTTGATTGTGATTTATCTGAAATTAGTATGATTTGTTTCTCTGAATCCAATATATTTTTCTATTGATGTGAAACATAGTTTTCTTTTGACATTAATTGAAATTATTATCATTTATAAGGTTGTTTGTTGATCAACGTTAATCAAAACACATATCATAATTATTTATAAGGATATTACGATTAATATTGATGAAATTGTTTATTTATTAGTTAAGAATATTTATCTATTGGAGTTTGTTAGAGTTTTTTTCTTTACTAATTTTAGTAAATTTCCTGTATACAAATTGTCGTAGTGTTCACATTATTCTATAATATGTGGTAGCTATTCAACACATTCACTTATAAGAAGGAAGAAGAAAGGAAAATAAAAGAAAGAAACGACGAAGGAAGTCTGAAACAAATACTAGTGAGCGGAAGCACTTGTGTGAAGTTTGACTAAGGAAGCATAAAATCCACCACTGACGTTGATGAGTGTTTCATGCTTCCCTTTCTCCGCTATCACACCATTCTTGACAACGGCAATCACATCTGCGTTTTTAATTGTGGATAGACGATGTGCCACAACCACGGTGGTTCTGTTCACTATGACTTTGTCCAATGCATCTTGAACAACTCTTTCAGACTCAGCGTCTAATGCACTCGTGGCCTCATCGAGTAGTAATATCTTTGGACTTTTTATTATGGCGCGTGCAATGGCTACCCGTTGCTTCTGCCCACCAGATAATTGGGTTCCCCTCTCCCCGACCAAAGTATCATAACCCTGTCATACAAGGGAACCACCAAATAGTCCTTAACCACACAACAACATAAGTAAAGAAGTGATTTTTCATAATTATTTATTTTACCTGTTGTAAGCCACTAATGAATTTATGGGCATTGGCCAATTCTGCTGCAGCTACGATTTCTGCTTCAGTAGCATTGCCTCCTTTCCCATAGGCAATGTTGGCACGTATGGTTTCATTGAACAAGAGTGGCTCCTGGCTTACAAGACCCATCTGCTGTCTTAACCACTTCAGTTGTAACTCACGAATTTCTATCCCATCAAGAGTGATTTGTCCTGAATCAGGATCATAAAATCTTTGCAACAAACCAATCACTGTCGATTTCCCACTTCCACTCTCACCAACAAGAGCCACCGTCTGGAACAGCAATTTTATTAGACTTCTGTTGCTATCTGTGATGGAGATTCCGAAGCGTGGTTTCATGTTTCTATATTGTACATGTTCATGTCTAATAACGTGGTTGTATTCCATTTTCATGTTTTCTTTATATAGATTTCAATATTTAATCTATAGCTATCCATGCTTTACTTAAGTAGCGGTGAAATGAAAATATAAAACTCAAACTGTACCTGACAAGAATGGATAGCCAAGCTGAGGTCTTGGAAAATCTGTATGTCAGGCCTAGATGGATACTTGAAGCTCACATGATGAAGCTCAATTTCTCCCTTGACGCTCTCCAGTGTGATGCCAGACTCATCACTCGGATCTATTTTTGACTTCTTATCTAATATTCCAAATATGGAGGCAGTGGCTGACTTGGCTTTGCTTGAATCAGTAGAAAGGGAGCTTGATCGGGAAATACCAGCAGTTGCCATAGTTAATGCAAAGAAAACCTGAAAGGCATGAAAACAACAACATTAAAGAAAATTTTAAATACAAAACTCTTTACAGTGAATGTTTGAAATATGAAAGAATTTTGACCCGGAAAACATCAGAGAATGACGCCTTCCCAGCTTCCACAAGCCTAGCTCCGGCGTAGAAACTGATTGCATTAAAACTTTGCAATGAGAAAAGCGAAGCCCCAAATCCTAATCCGTTGGTAAGTCCTAGTCGTATCCCTGATTTGATCGGCCCCTCACATTTGTTCTTGTATAGTTCCATAACCTTGTCTTCAGCACAGAAAGAAGCAACTGTTCTTATGCTTCTAACTGCATCATTAGCAACTTGGCTTGCTTCCTCATACATTATCTGCCGGAACGACACATAATCTGAATAATGTAGTTACTCATATAACTTTTGATAGTAATGGAAAACAAAACTGACCTTTACATCAGGACTGAATCCCTTCATGGATTTCGTTTGAACATATACATTCATTCCATAAAGGGGAACCAAGACAAGAATAATCAACGTCATCCGCCAGGATGCAGTGAAAGCAATAATCAAACCTGCCAATACCGATGCTAAGTTTTGAACTAATAGTGCAAGCGCATCACCAACAATGGTACGTACAAAAGCCGCACCAGCTGAGAGTCTGGCACCGATAGCACCACTTGAGTTTTCTGGTTCATCAAACCAACCAATCTCCATGTTGACAACCTTCTCAAAACACATTAGCCCGATACGATGGATTAACTTGCATCCTGCCACAGAAAAAAAGTATCGTTGTCCAAGATTTGTCAGAAAAGCTCCAATAGCAAGGGTAGTAAACATCACTGCCCAAAACTCGGAATCTTTTTTCATCTCATCAAATGGTTCATAAAATGTCTTGATGGCACTGGAAACAAGCAACCCATTTATTGGATTTATAAGACCACTCGCCATGGCAGCTACACATCCAATCAGAAGAACTGGAATCTCTGGCTTATTAAGTGAAGCAAGGCGGCTGAGCGGAACATCTGGTGCTTGATCTTTGGGTTGTGAGTTTTCAAGTTCAGGATCAGGAATGTTAACTCCTTCGGATAAACCAAAGGAAACCGAAGATGTGTGGTTGCCACTATTCCTTTTGGATGACCCCCTACTAATGGATCTTTGAAGTGATCTCCTTTCACTAGATTGTCTAAAGGATTCTACACAAATTTCACTCTTGCTGTGATGCTCTGCGTTTTCTTCTGACTCATTTCTTATTTCTTGTAGGCGAATCAGTTGAGAGTACGCTCCATCAGGATCCTTCAGTAATTCTGACTGTGTTCCTGATTAAGAAATATATAATGTAACAGAGTAAGGAATTCTAATTCCAAAATCGTTTTTTATTTAATTGTTTAAAAATATTCATCATATAAAAAATAGACAAATTATTTTCAATAAAATTAATATATAATAATTTTAATAAGTCTTAAATTATATTTTTTATTTAATTTTTTCTCACGTTGTCATCTCTCATTGTATATAAAGTACATTGATATAATGGATTGAGTTCAATAAAAATTAGCTTTTCTTATTTTTATTTTTCTGTTTTCTTTTTCATATTCGAGTACACTTGCAAAAACACTTCAGGTTTTTTTTTATAGTTTTAATTGACTTGTATATTTTTAAACTATGACCTTTATATTTATAATTTTAAATTTGACTTCTGTATTTGATCCGTTAAATAAAATTTATTTTTGTGGTTATCTTTTATCATTAATAAAATATTATTTCATATATATATATATACATATATTTTCTGGTAAAAATATATATTTTTATTTATTAATATACTGAATTTAATTTTATCTAAATTTATTATTTCAGTTTTTGTTTGTGTTTTTGTCTTATTAAAAATACAAATATTATAATAGGTTTTTATACATGTTGAAATATATATATATATATATATATATATATATAAATAACATTAAATCATGTAACATAACATAAAATATTAATAATTAATAAAATAACACTTTTAATGACATATCTTATTTTAATATGATCTTAATTCTATAATGATGATTTTAATAACATAACTTGCGAATCATTTTATAGATGGAAAATGATACTTTGACAACCTAAATCCATACAACTTCTATAAACAATTCTCTTTTAATATTATAATAATAGTTTTGTTTTATTTTTATTTTTATTCAATCATTTTATAGATTATTATATTAATAAAAGTGAGTTGTTTGAAGAGATGTATAGTTTTTGGTTGTGAAAATATCACCATTCTTTATAGATTATTAGATTAATAAAAGAGAGTTGTGAAAAGGGTTGTATCTATTTTTAATTCTACTGCATCCATGGATGGTCAGTATTCAATCAACGAAAATTGTAAAGAAGGCACCATTTAGCGTGGTACCTTTCTCAATCATCTTCCCTCTGTGAATGACAGCAATCATATCTGCATTCTTCACTGTGCTCAAGCGATGTGCCACTACAACAGTAGTTCTGTTGACCATGATCCTGTTTAGAGCCTCTTGCACTTTCATTTCTGACTCTGCGTCAAGTGCACTTGTGGCTTCGTCCAGAAGTAGAATTCGAGGATTTTTCAGGATTGCTCTTGCAATGGAAATGCGTTGCTTCTGCCCACCAGATAGCTGGCTTCCAAGATCACCAACCATTGTGTTCAATCCCTGCATGCAGAGGTAAGTGAACTTACTTAACATGAACTACTCTATAAAAGATGAAAGGGTATAAGTTAATATGCATTTTATAAGGCCAGCTATTTTCATGTCACTATACTGATGTGTTAAATGAAAAAGTCATCTAATTAATGATTAAGAGTTATTTTAGTATAAACTGAGTATCAAACTAATCCAATGACAAATGAGATAAAATCTCCTAACAGGTTGAGCGGGGAACCTGTGGAAGCTTATCAATGAATTTAGCAGCATTTGCTAGTTCAAGTGCAGATCTTATCTCTTCAGTTGTTGCATCCTCTTTTCCATATGCAATATTTTCCTTAATGCTAGATGTAAACAACACCGGCTCCTGGCTGACAAGACCTATTTTCCCTCTGATCCACCGAAGCTGAAATTCTTTCAGGTTAATACCATCAATAAGAACTTCTCCAGCCTGTGGATCATAGAATCTTTCTACTAAGCTGATAACTGTAGACTTTCCACTTCCACTTTCTCCAACTAACGCTGTTGTTGTACCACTTGCTATATGAAGAGAGAATCCATCAAATATCAGTTCTTCTGGTCTTGATGGGTAACTGAAATAAACATCCCTCAACTCTAGTTCTCCTTGAATATCGTGTAATACTACTCCATTTGGATCATAAGCGTCTATCTCTGGATTCCTTTCAATGGTCTGGAACATTTTGTATGCTGCAGCCTGACCTGAAGCAAAGACATTCATGCAAGGGGATGTCTGTCCAAGAGACCTAAGATATGAAAAAAAATAAAAAAATATCAACTGTTCGTGCGTGGTTGTGTTGGTTTTTGATGCAAAATATTCTCAAAATAATTAGAACGTATAAGGTGTTACTATTTTGAGAATATTTTGTATCAGTTTTAATAAAAAAAAGTAATATTAACTGTTAAACTTAGCAGAAAATACAATAAAATCAAAATGCTACTTACGATGAACTAATAAGTATGGTAATAATCACAGTCGTCACCGTGCCCCCACTATATCCTTTTTCCATTATCAACTTTGCCCCAAACCATACACCGAAAGCATAAGTACTGAAAATAACAAAATAAAGTGTGCCTACACCGAGTCCCAGAATGCAACCTTCGTGAATTCCTGATTTGTAAGCACGTGCAAGAACTTTGTCATACTTGGATACTGCTTGTTTTTCCCCAGTAAAGGATGCAACCTGGAAATATAAACAAAAGAGGAAATATGATTATCATTGCATTGCAAGAAATGAGCCCATTCAATTGAGAAAGTTCAGAAATCCATGGTTATCTTGTCACAAAATTCACTTTTAGTATTTGATTATGCTTAATAGTTCCATAAATAATAATAAGATATTTATAAATAATTAATACTTATAATTATAAATATTCTATTATTTGTTGTGTTGATGAAAATAAATCATTTATGATTTTTCAGGTTTATTAATTTAAAAAAGAAAAATAATTTAGTAGACAAACTAGTTTCTTGTTCACTTGATCATCAAATTTGATTATAAGAAATTGGTGAGTAGAATTGAGAAGAATATTTATAACTTTAAACTGATTATTAACAAAGAAGATTGATATAATATGATTATTAAAAGAATAACAATATATTTCAATATGTTTGGTTTGCATATAAAACACTAGATTTGTAACAAATTAAATAACATTTGTATTGTTGGCACAAAGAGGTGTTGGATGTGCTTGAAAAAATCCAAGTTCATCCAAAAGATTACAAATCCAAATCATTTTGGAATAAATAGTAGGCATGATACCACATCTTGATTCAATCAGTGATTTAAAAATTTGCATTTGCTTCTTACTTTTCCATAAAATCAATGACGAGCTAAGAAAGATGCATTGATCTATGACATAGTTGAATATGGACACTTACCCCAATCAACATCACTATAAACAATTAATTTAACAGTTGTTATCCTAATAGGAAAGAACTTTTATGAGAGGTTCCTTTCAAGTAGTGAATAATATGATGGATAGCTACCAAGTGTAGACGAGGAGGAAAATGCTTAACCTGATTGACTTGTTGAATAACAAATGATATGTCATGTCGTATAATAATAAAGTAATTAAGATTGTCCACAAGTTGTCAACATAGAAAAAGGTTAGACAAAAGATATTCTCATCACGATGATGATATTTAACATTAACTTCAAGAGGAGTATCCATTAGATTAGTTGACAGGAGGCCAACTAAAGAGATGAGGTCAGTATATATTTATGCTGATGGAGAAATGTACCTTTGGAGATAGAATGATCTTTAAGACCTAGGGAAATAATGCAAGTGATCAACATTTTTTATATGAAATGTAATTTGTAATTGTTGTTTAAGTTCTCGATGAATGTTTAATTAGAGACAATGATAACACTAGTGCAAAGAAAGTATATATATTTTGTAATAAGTTACTACATTGGTCATAAAAAAAATTAATATAAAAAATGATGTATTTGCAAAATTATAAATAGGGGATGTTTTTTACCTTGGTTGTTACAACAACTGATGTAATATATAGATATCACATTGGTTCCATTATGAACTAATGGTATATGTTATATACTACATCGGTTGCTACAACAATCGATGTAGAAAATGCCTATATGTTTATTTCGCATCCTACTTTTAGGCATAACACCACTTTGCCTTCATCTTCTTCACTGAGAACCATTGTTGCCACAATGAATTACAAGCAAGAATTTCCTTCCTTATCCATAGAACCACCACAAGTTTCATTGTGTGTTGCCATTACTCTGCCACCACCAATGCAGTAGCTATTGCCAACACAATTGTAAACTTTTTACATAATGTGATTCTATATCGGTTATTAAACCAATGTAAAATTATTTAAATAACCATCGTAAATTGAGGTTCTCCTACTACTATAATAATATCATCAATATAAAGAAAGAGAACAACAATATCTATAATTGTGTAATATATAAATAAAGAGGAATCATATTTACTCGAAGTAAAGGAAAACCAATAGAAAGTAGACTAAAACTTGTCAAATCATGCTTTGAAAGTTTATTTCAGGCCATATAAGGAATGTTTTAGCTTGCATACTCCCGTATATGAAGAAAATTGACCTTGAAGAGGAGTCATATATATATATATATATATATATATATATATATATATATATATATATATTCTATTAGCTCCCAATGAAAAAAGACATTTTCACATTTGATGAAGAGACAAACCATTAGAGGTAGCTATAGAAAGGACAGTTTTAAAAATTATCATTTTGGAAACAAGTACAAATATCTCATCATAATTAATTTCATACTACTGCTTGCTATCTAAGGTAACTAATTGAGCCTTTTAGTGATTAAGAGAACCATCATAATTTAGTTTCATAGAATACATAAATTTGAAACCTATTGGTGTAATAGTCAAAGGACAAGTGAAAATATCCCATGCAAATTTTTCTTAAAGGGCCTAAAGTTTATCATTCATTCTCAACGTACATATTTAATAGTTTGTGTTTGTGAGTAATAAGTAGGAATAAATGTGCGAGAGAGAGAAGCAGTTAAGGAAGTATGGGGGGAATCAAACTTGTATGGTGAATATCTATTACATAAATCTACTAGATCTTTGAAGTGCAATCCAAACATATGGTAGATCAATATTGAAAGCGAGGGGTGGGAACATGACGTTCAATTTCAATAGATGGAGACAAGTTTAAAACAATATCAACATCATTCGTAGTAAGAGAAATACAAGGCAACAAAAATTAATTATCAAAGAATACCATATTCCTAGATATACGAAAATGATTATTAGAAATATTATAACACACAAAACCCTATGATAAAGACTATATCCCATAAATGCACATTGAACAGATTGTGCCCCAAACTCATGTTATTCAAGTGGTGGTAAATGAAGTAAACATACACAACCAAAAGTATGTAAAACACTAGAGTTAGAATGAGTCTTTAAAAGATGAGTATAAACTAATAACCTCATAAAAAAAATGATTGATAAGGAAAATACTAGTGGATAGAGTCTCCACCCAAAATCTTCATGGAACAAGGGCTTGGAGAAGCAATGTGCGAGTCATATCAAGCAAGTGAAAATTCTTATATTTTGTAATGCCATTTTGTTGAGACGTATTAAGACAAGAGCGTTGAGACATAATGTCTTTTTGTTGAAGATACTCCTGAAACACATGGGATATGTATTTTCCACTAGAGTCGAGTGAAATATTTTAATACTGATTTGGAACTAATTTTCAACATATGTTATAAATTTCTTAAATCTATAAAATATTTTAGATTTAGATCAAAGAAAATTATCAAAGTAACATCAATAAACGTCATAAAATATTTATAGTGAGCATGAGAAGTCAAAAAATACATACCCCAAACATCCTTATGAATTATTTCAAAATAATAAGAAACATGATGAACACTAGAGGAAAAATAAAGTATACTTTTAACTAATTTGCAAACAGAACAAGAAACATATTCAACAATAATAATATTTTTATTTCACAACAAACCATATTTAAACAAGTGATACATGACAACAAAATTAAGATGACCCAATTTTCTATGGCAATCGCCATAAAAATTCAAAACATTATTATAAGTAAAAGAAAGATGACGAGGAACAAATTGGAGAGAAAACGATCTTCCCACTTTAGGCCCTTTCGTAATCACCTTCCTTGTAGATAGTTTCCTCTCCAATTTGTTCCTCGTCATTTTTCTTTTGCTTATAATAATATTTTGAATTCTTATGACAATTGTCATAGAAAATTGGATCAACATGCTCTATAATAAACAAATCCACAGGCTGACTTATAGACAGTACAAACCAATGACTCATGATCGATAAATTTTCAAAGAACTCAACAAATATGTTATTTCTAAAGTAAGAATTGGTAATAGAGAACAAATAGATGTGAAAAGTACGAGAACAATTGCAGTTAAAAGTCATTTGAGTATCAAATTAATTTTTAATGTTTTATATATTCTTGATATTAATCATAATTTGTTAAGTATTGCTCAATTATTGGAGAAAAGTTATGAGATGTCTTTTGAACACAAACTTTGTGTGAATAAAGATACAAATAACTTGAAAAATATTCAAAGTTCACATGAAAGGAAAACAATTCACTTTTGATTTGATGAAAGAAGGGTTGACTACAAACGAGGATATAAAAGAAAAGTGAAAGAAAAAGTATGATGAATATTTCTTGAAGAAACTTGATATTAAGGAGGAAAATAAATATGTAGATGAAGAAACTGCTTTCAATGTCCATCAAAGGGTCAATGATACTACCATGAAGTTTGAAAGAAACAAAGAAAATGAAATTGAAAAAGAAAGAAATACTTTGATGAAGAAAGTAAAGTTGAATGAAGATGTGATCTCATACAAGTAGGAAGATGACAAAAAGTACCAACAAAAAATTAGCAAAAATTCCAAGCAAAATAAAAGAAAGAATATCAAATTCAAATAAACAGATATTAAAGTAAGGAGGAATGTTGGAAATATTATTTTATCATCTTTTATTTAAATTAGGTATTAAGAGATTTTATTATCTTTTAAGATAGAAGATAAAAATATATTATTAGGTTTTTATTTTGATTTAGGAAGTTATATTATTAAGATATTATTATGATTTAATATTTTGTCATATTTTACTCTATATATAAATAGAGTCATGTGGGATATATTTCACATATAAGAAATACACATACACAAAACTTTGAAAATTCCACCAATACCTATTCCTGCACAAGAAAACTACCTTGAGAAAAGTTAACATTACATTTGTTATAAATTAATTGACTAACAGATAATAAGTTTGAAGCAAGGCTAGGCGATGTGATTTCTTAGAGGATGTGTGGAATAGTTAGAGATATAATGATCGTGTTATTTGTAGTAATGAAAAAACTTGTTACTACAATTATGAGGAATATTTCCAAATTGTTTGCAAGCTAAACATTGGAGGTCACATATCACAACCTTTGCTTTTACTTTGGACAACATATGTAATTATCACAAGTTTCGAAAGGGTAACATCATGAGTCATGGATCCTTGAGCAAGAAAATGTTTTTCTTCCGTAAGAAGTTCACAAACATATGTATCCAAAGAAGGAACATGGTTCCTATTCAATATCTAGGCAAAGTTTAATGAGAAATTGATCATGCTTACTCGTGTTATAAACATTTTGGATAACTGAGAGTGAATATTGGGGAATAATAATGTTTTTATGAGTGATTTGTCCATAGATTCAAAAAATTAAAACAATTTACTCTTGAATATACAAATTATGTTGTTTGTCATTAACTATATCTAACTCCAATTGAAAAACTTTGGTTTTCCTAGTTATAAATTCGTTTCAAATATTCTCATATTGTTGAACAACTTCCAAAGAGCATAAATTATTGATCATTTGGGATCAACAATATTGAGAATCCAAGAAATAATCTGGGTATCTTTTACTTCTCACGCATCTAAGGTTGTTTGCTTTACTAGTGGTACAAAATACCCATCTAGATGACCCTATAATATTTATCCTTTGACATGCATCTTGAATTAAAATTCGCAAGCTGTTTAATTCTTGCCATTGAATAAAACACAAAAGTTGTCATTCTTTAAAGTTGTCATGATGGTGGGGAGTAATACAATTGCGACAAAACATACAAGATTGTAGAATTGCTAGTGATGAGAACAGAAGCCACAAGCTCCAACATAACCATAGGTGTGAGAAAGAATGGTAAGCACAAACAAAGATCATGAGCACAAACACAATCCACAAATTGAATAAGAACTACGAAGGGAGGAACTAATAACAAAGAACATGACATGAGAGCAAAATCTTCAAGCTTGATAAAAAAAACTCCAAATGGAGATTAACAAAATATATTGGATCATAACTAGTTTGATACCATGTCAGAAAAAATGATTTTTGTGCATTTGTTCATTGTTATTAGTTCTACAAAAATAATCAAAACATTTACAAATATCTATTATACATAAATATTCTATTACTTGATGAACCCTAAACCTATAATTGAGTAGAACAAATAATTCATGATTTATCAAATTTTATTATTAAAAAAATTATTCACAAAATTAATGTAATATGTAAATGTAAATGGGAGCACTATAAGAAATGAACACATTCAATCAAGAAAGTATATAAATAAACAAATATCTAGTTAGGTTTGAACTTTGAAGAAACAACATACTGTTCTCATTGAACCAATTGTCTGTTCAACTACACGAGCAGCTCTTGCATAAGCAATTTGATGTCTAGAAGCAACCCTTTCCATGATGAATGCCATAACAGCACCTGACAAAACAAGAAGTGGAACAGTAGACAACATGACAACTGTAAAAAGCCACCCTTTCACAAACGTTATCACAAATCCTCCAACAAATGTTGCTACAAGCTGCACAAATCTCCCAACCTATAAAAGAAAATCAAATGTTTTGAACATATTAAAAATGTACCTTGAAGGTTGCAATAAGATATGGATATCGATATGTGTTGGAACTTTATCATTTAATTAGGTATCAAAATATTTTTAAAAGAGAAAAATATATTACATTGTTATTTTGATTTAGATAGTTGTAATTGAGATATTGTTAATATTTGATATTTTATTATATAATTACTCTCTCTCTCTCTCTCTCTCTCTATATATATATATATATATGGAGACACACACACGATGGCGGATCTTCTTGGGAGCTGAGGGGGCCGTGACCCCCCAAAGTTTTGTAACTCCCATGTAATTTATGATTTTGACCCCCCCAAACTTAATGAACATTTAATATATTTACTTGTATATTTACAATTTTATCCTCCCAGCCCCTCCTCAGTTTTGTAACTCTCATATAATTTATAATTTTGTCTCCCTCAAACTTAATGATCATTTAATATATTTAAGTATATATTTACAATTTTATCCTTTCACCCTTTCATCTTCTTACTTCATTTTATATTTATTTATTATTTATTAATAATATATTATTTGGCCCCTCCAAGATCAATGGTCAAGATCCGCCACTGCACACACTATGAGAGAAAAACTCCACTATATCATATATTTCATATATAAAAAATATATATACACAAAACCCTAAAATAGTCAATAGTAATATCAAGAGTTTTGGTTCTTACTAGGCTTGTAGAATGGAAGGACAAGGAAGTTTTTCACAAGTTATTATTACACTTTTCAATGATGAAAGTTACAACCTATGGATTATAAGAGTGCAATCCTATATTAAAGGTTTAGATTTATGAAAAATTGTAGAAAAAAATTATATTGTTGATCCGTTACTTGAAAATTCTACCATAGCCTAAATTAAAATTCAAAAGGAATGAAAAACGAAGAAAATAAAAACAAAATCATGTTTATTATTAGTATTTCAGAAATGATTCTTATTAGAATCATGACCCGAATGTTACCCAAAGAAATTTGGGATTATTTGAAAAATAAAATGAAATACCCACAATAAGAGGGATAAAAAAGTTCTAAAGGAGAAAACCCCATCAACCAACTAGGCCAATATCATTGATGCTAAACTAGACTCCAAGAAACAACAATCGTTCAAGACAAAATTGCTCGAGAGGCAAGAAAATTCTATAACAAATGCACCTTAAGAAAGATAATATTAAAGAGATCTTATAGGTAAAAGACGATGCCCTTAAGTAGAAGAAAGAAGAGCTTGAAAATCGTGATCGTCAAGTAAAGAAGCTTCAAGTTAAGTTAGAAAAATTATAGAAGAAGTTTAAACCTATCATGAATTTACCTATGTTGAAAGATAATGAAAAAAATAGATAAGAAGAAGAGGTGCTTTAATAAGAAAAAACCTTCTTTACCTTACGTTTTGAGGATGAAAGACCAATGAAATGAGATTAAGAAAACAAATTCAGAGGCAAAATTTAAGGAAATTTTAAACATGTTAGATGCTAAAATGGAACATTGCCAATGCATAAGAGAATAATTCTTGTGAGAAGAACTATCATATCGAGTATGAGTGTCAAAATAGGCTTAACTTAATGGGCAAACCCAAAAGATTCAAGAAATAGGCCAGACTAGGCCAACAAAATCGTGCCATAAATTGAATCAGATATATTTTGACTCGGCCTATTTAGGTCATGATCTATATAAACTTAGGTCAAGCTAGCCGGTAGGCTTTTGGGATGATCTATTTTATAGAATAATAATTTTTTTTAAAATATACATAAAAGTAATATTATTTTATTAAAAGTATATATGTATTATAAATTAATTTGACAAGGAATTTACTTATTCTAAGAGTAAATATCAGAGAAAGTATCTAATAATCACTTATTCTAAGATCTAATAATTAAAATTAATTACTATTTTAAATTAATAAATTACTAAAAAATAAATAATGATAATGAAGAGTAAGTTTTTAATTCTTATTTTAAGATTGAGTATTCTCTTATAATTTATATATTAAATCATTATATCTTAAATAAAAACTAATTTCATTAATAAAATTAAAATTTTAAAAATATATTTTTATTTTTATTATATTTTTTAATTAAGTGATTTGGTATAGATGTGTTATTTTTTTTTTAAATTCAATCAAACAAAAATTGGTTCGTTAGTATGTTGGCCTAACATAAGGTCAAACTAGACTATAAATTTTGGTCCATTTTAAAATATAGGTTAAACTGTACCATCAAATTTGTTTACTTAATTTGTATGGCCAGGTCGAGTAGACCGGACTAGTCCATTTTGACAACTCTAATCTCAAGAAAGAAGTTTGTTTATAAGTGATTACAAAAGAAAAACATGATAGTGAGACAATAAAATGAAATAAAGAGATGATCACATACAAAAAAGAGAATAACAAAAATTACAAGCAAAAGAGAAGGAAGAAAATAAGAATAGAAAGAAAGAATATCAAATTCAAATAAATAAATATTAAAGTAAGAAAAAATGTTGGAAAGATTGTTTTATTATGTTTTATTTAAATTAGGTATTAAAAGATTTTTATTATTCTTTTGAACAAGGGAAAAAGATATTACATTATTATTTTGATTTAGGTAATTATAATTGAGATATTTTTAATATATGATATTTTTGTTATATGTTTTCATTATATATTTTCTCTCTATATATAGAGTACATGAATAAAATATGGAGACACACATGAGAGAAAAACTCCACTATATATCATATATCTCATATATAAAAAATACACATACACAAACTCTTACAAAGTCTCAAAAATATGGTAAGTAGGTACCTTCTCACCCATTGCATCTTGTAAAAGAATGATATCACCTGATATCCTCCCAATGACATCGCCAGTGTTTGTTTCCTTATCAAAGAAAGCAATATCTTGTCTCAGAATAGTTTTCAGATACAATACTCTTATTCGTGCAGTCTGCCTCTCCCCCGTTATCGTCCAACATGTTACCTCTGAAAGGTCAAATGCTTCTCTCAAATAGACTTAAATAACAATATTTTGCTAAACAAATAGATTTATATTTTATGTTTTTAATAACTTATGCCTTTTATAAATGAAATTTTTTATAATTAAATAAATTTATACTGAATTTTTAATAAAATGTCATTAACCTTTTTATTTTATTTAAGAATATTATATTCATTAAAATTTAAATACAAATTATAAATATTAAAAATTAATATTCAAAATAGATTTTTCCATAAAAATAAATAATTTAATTATTATATATTAAAATATATAAAAATATCTTGTCATCAAATTATAAATTATGCTGTAAAAAAATTTTATTTTTTGGGAAAAAATATTTAAACAAATATTTACTCAAATAATATATATATATATATATATATATATATATATATATATATATATAGATATTTAAATTTTTATTTTGACAAATAATTTCTTCTTGAACCGATTACATAACAGATTTTTATTCGTTTAAATTTAATATATGATTATTAATAATGAAATCAGTTTAAATAAAGTTCAATTATTAATAAAATAAAATTTAATATTTATGAATACGTTTTTTTAACTTTAATTAAATAAGTATTACAATTTATTGTAAGTATATGAGTATATAGTTTTTTAATTTTACGAAATTATTTTAGCAAATGTCTTAAATTAAGTAGTTAAAATTTAATTAAAACAATAAAATTTATAATAGGGTAAAATATTATATTTTAATTAAGAATGGTAAGAGCACTTTTTTATGAGTTAACGTGTTTTGAATGAATGAAATATGAAAGTTAAATTTTGAATAATTTTTCAAAGTTATAAATAGAAAAAAATTAATATTTTATTTCTAATGGATCAAAAATTTTATTTCCTTTCTAATTTTTTTACTTTAATTTCTCTTTAAAAATCTACTAGGTTTCTGGGTTCCTTGATCATCTTTTTCAAAATTTGAGGACCTTGCATTGTTGGCAAATTTTGGGTCATGTATATATATGATACATATTTAAATGTGTTAGGGTCATTATTTATTAAGCCAAATAATAAAGTGATCTAACTAAATTAAAGTTTTGGCTAAAGACATATGTCATGAAAATAAAATTGTGTAGAGACCATAGAACAATTTCTAATTTGATGAGGGGCCAAATTGGAAATACTAAAACTTAAGTAATTAACCTAATTCTGGTTATCTAAAGGGTCATGGTCCCCTTCTGAGAGCACACACACAGAACGTAAGTATCAGTCCCGTTCCTTTCTTTCTATCCCCATCAAGAGAGAAAATCAAGAGGGAAAATACAGGTGCTCTTCAGGTGGAAGACCATAAGATCAATATAGTGCTCTACAAAGACATCATCGTTATGGCTAATTCAGGTACGCTTTCGCATTCGAGTTTACGAGCATGTTTATCGAGTATGGGATTATGTTTATGTTTGATTGTTAGAATCAAAATCAGGATTATTATTATTATTATTATTATTATTATTATTATTAATTTTCCAACAATTGGTATCGAGTCGCCCATATTTGATTCATGTCTGTTTAATTTATAGAACCCTAATTATGAAAATTAGGATTAATTTTGTTTTAAACAATTCAAATTACCCAATTTTATGAACCCTAAGTGGAGAATAATCTCTAATTTTCGTAAACCCTAAAATTTAAATTTGGGGGTAACATTCCCAATCTGATTTTGCTTGCTGATGGAACCGTGGAGGAAGCTATGGATTATTCTTTTTCTTCGTTTTTCCCTTTTGTTTCAGTTTAAGTTTCAAGTTTTACTAAGAAAGAAACAATGTTTCATATTTCAAATTTTCTTGTATTGGGTTCTCTGTTCCTTTTTGAATCTTTTGTTTTTATTTAATTTTATGGGTTTGGAATTGGGGGTGGTGTTTGTGGAGTTCCCAATACAGAGAATCTTAGGTAAATGATGAATGTTTCCACATGTTTGGCTGTTATTATTTTATTGTCTCTATCCCCTAGGAATTTAAAGAAAATTTGATGTTAAATTAGGGTCCGAGTGATTACTTGTTTAATTCCTTTTAGGGTTTAGAGCGAGTATGCTAAAGAGACTCGGAACTATCTCTCGTTTCATCCCTAGTGTGATTTTAGGAAGATGTTCATCCTTTAGGTATTGGTGGAAAATGAGGCCTTTTTTCATCCTTTGATTTGTTCGAGATGAGGTGTTCATCCCTAATGAGATTCTAGGGAGGTGTTCATCCTTAGTAGATTTATAATGAGGTGATTCTCTTTTGAATTAGTTTGCAAATATTAAATATTTGGTTTTGTTATATAAATAAAATATTCAATTTTTGGTAGTTTAATATTTTTTGTGAGCAAATTGAGTCAAGAAGTCACCAAAGTAACTTCTCTTGAATTGGGCAGTTCATGAAAAATATTGAATGTTAGTGTTTGTGTATATTCATGCGAGTATTAGTCGACCCAAAGGAAGATTAATATTTGGCCGAATTGCATACACACTTGTAATGATAAACATGTGATAATTATAAGGATTTGCTTTGTCGATGATAAATCAATCCAAAGACTGGTTTATTGTTGGACGTGCTTTATTGTCAATGTTTGATTATTACAACAAGATACCTCTAGCGAGTTAATATTACTCGTCCAAAGACTTGATATTGATGGTGCATTGGGTGTCTTGAGATGGGTTAAACCATTATTTGAATATATATTTTATTTATAATTTTTTTTATATAATGTGAGCATAATTAGTTTATTTCTTTTGTTCTAATCCAGCTACAATTGCTTCTGTATTCGCCAATTTAAATTATGTTCCGATCCTCAAAAGTATGTTTCCTACTTTTGTCCGTTCGAAGTCAATTTAGCGTCAGTACCTAGTAACACTTAGTGGTTAGACTCAGGTGCAACTACTAACATCAGTGTTTCTATAAAGGGTTGCCTAAGCTACCGGAAGCCAATTGATTCTGAAAGATGGATTTATGTTGGAGATGGCAAATCGGTAGAGGTGGAAGCTATAAGTCATTTTAAATTATTATTAAGTACTGATTTTTTATTTGGATTTGAAAGACACTTTTGTTATGCCGTCATTTAGACGGAATTTGGTTTCAGTTTCTTATTTGGACAAATTAGGTTATTTATGTTCATTTGGAAACAATAAGTTCAGTTTGTCTTTTAATTCAAATATTGTTGGAACTGGTTCACTTTTAATTTATGATAATCAGTATTTACTTGATATTGTGACCACCTATAATGAAACCCTTAATGCAGAATCATGTGGTACTAAACGTAAAATTGAAAATACTCACTCAAGTGCATTATGGCACAAGTACTCAGGTAACATCAAATTGTAACGTTTGGGCTTATGTTACACTCTTAAAGATATGGTAGAGAGTATGATTTGTCATTCCACCTTACTGGAATCACTTTGGGGAGAGACACTAAATATGACAGCTTATATTCTAAACAAAGTACCAACTAAAGCAGCTACCAAAACACCTTATGAGCTTTGGATTGGGCGACAACTTAGTCTGAAGCATTTCCATGTGTGGGATTGTCCAGCTGAGGCAAGACCTTATAAGTCAAATGAAAAGAAATTGGACTCTCGAACAGTAAGTGGTTATATTATTGGTTATGCTGAAAGATCCAGGGGATATAAATTTTATGATCCCACATTAAAGACATTTTTTGAGACGGGAACTGCTATGTTCTTTGAGGATATTAAGTTTGGGGGGAAGAATAAGATTAAGAACTTCATCTTAGAGGAAGAATCGGTAACAATTTCAGAACCAATTCAAATAGTTACTTTTGATAAAGTAAGTTCGGAACCTCCACAAGGCATTGTTGATGAACCCCTTACTCAAGATGATTTGGTTGTTCATGAAGAACAAACTCAAGATCCTCAAGAACCTGTGCATCATGAGCTAATAACTTTGCAGAGATCCACTAGAGAAAGAAGAAGTGTTATTTTGGATGATTACATGGTATTTCTTCAGGAACATGAGGAAAATAATGATATAATGGAAGATGACCCAGTTAACTTCCGTCAAGCTATACAAGGTTCTAACTCTCAAAAGTGGATTAAAGCAATGAAGGAGAAGTATAAGTCCATGCAAGACAATAAGGTTTAGGAACTTGTCCCATTACCAGAAGGTATGAAACTCATTTGGATTCAAGATGAATATTGTTGATGATTGTATGTATCACAAGTTTAAAGGGAGACAAGTTTAGTCTCAATCAGTGCCCAAAGGGGAATTTGGAAATTGAGGAAATGCAAAAGATTCCCTATGCATCAGCTGTAGTGAGTTTGATGTATGCCCAAGTATGTACGCGTCCAGACATAGCATACATAGTTGGGGTTCTAGGCAGATATTTAAGCAATCCAGGAATAGACCATTGAAAAGCAGCAAAAAGGGTCATAAGATATTTAAAGAGAACAAAAGATTATATGCTCACATATAGGATGTCAGGCCAGTTGGAGATCGCTGGATTTTCTGACTCATATTTTGCAGGATGTCAAGAATTTGTAGCATGCTATGAGGCATCAAATCATGGAATATGGCTGAGAAATTTTGTCACAGGGCTGCAAATTGTGAAAGGCATTGAAAGACCACTTAAGTTATATTGTGACAATAAATCAGCTGTATTGTTAAGGAAAGAGTACAAAGTGGACAAATTTTCATAGAACACTTAAGGACAAACTCCATGATACCAGATCCTTTGACTAAAGGACTTCCGCCCAAGGTCTTTCATGAGCATTTTGCTCACATGGGTGTTTTACAGTTTGAGGAATTTGTGGTTTAGTGGGAGTTAGTCACTTTCATATATTTTATGTTCTATGTTTAATTTCATATATGTATACATTGTCTTTTGGACATATTTGGTTATCTATAGATATGCGGTTTTTTTGTTCATTCATTACACTTTGTACATTAAGGATATTATATCGATCTCAATAAGTTAAAGTTTGGACCAGTTGAAAATAGACGTGTACAGATCACTTTCACGTAATTTTTCATGCTACACATTTCATGATGA